TTGGTTGACCAATATTGATTATAAATACTGCGCAAATTGTGCCTCTTTTACCTTTAGCTGCGAATCTGGCTCTCAATAAAATCAAGGTCCCCGAGGTTTGCACATGTTAGTCAAATAAAAAATAAAAAAATATTTTTCAAACAAATACTGCACATTCTAAAAATTAATTAAGAAATTGTAAGACGCATGAATAAGATATACTGTTATTACATCCCGTATCGAAAAATGCGCATCGGGGTTTGTGTGTATCATTTATGGCAAAAGACTATTTATTCAGTCATTCAGGCATGAACAGGACTCCTTAAGTCCAGAAAATCGACAGTTTACAAAACCAGAATCTGTGATACAGTCTCATAAATATCTTGCACCTGAAAACCTTTATGGTATAAGCAAATTTTCCTAATATCAGTGTAAGTTTGCGCATACACTTATCTCCGAATGTTTCTTATGAAGGGTTCGTGCGTGCATTGGACGTTGGAAACAAGTTTCATGCATCAACTTATGGCTCAAAGGAGAGTCAACGCGTTTCCTTGAGTTGAAAGTCAAAACGCAGCTGAACTCTGCCTTGAACATTATGCTGTTTTCTCAAAAAAACATTTAATTGTTCACACTAAACGCCAAATTGGAAGTAAATAACATGCTATTACAGACTTATTCGGTCATACTACATAGAAGCGCACTGTGAAGTTCTAGCCTAGAATTGTAAGCTTATAGGAACTGTTCTTGGAGCATACACTACTGATGAAGCACATGCCAGGAGAGAGTGCAAAAAACAACAGACAGTGCCAAAAGAGTGCAATTGTGTCTGGTCACTCACGTCATCCGAACCCAGCTCCGCCTAAGCATGACACTCGGAGAATTAGGACTGCCAAGCTGCCTCTCCTACCCTACAGTCGCACGCACATAGCATTTACACGCTTATCAGCGCTTAAGACAAGGTCACGTTTTAAACGTGCTCACGCCGACCCCCACCCTTTAAAAGTGCAGCCTCAGACGACATGATAATATTTACAAGGGCTGCGAACTGCGTCGGCGATTAAGTTGCCTTTCTGAATATTGCAAGCCGCTTGCCATGTCCTCCAAGAAGACAGCAGACTTCGAGAGTGACTCGTCCGTCTCCTTCAATGATGCTGACGAGGAGTTGCAGTCAGAAAATGCACAACAGAAGAAGGGTGGTTGCATGGGCTGCCTGCGTGAAAACCTCTTCGTGATCCTCATACTCATTGGAGTAGCTGTAGGATTTGGAATAGGATTTGGTGTAAGAAAGTTGAACCCTTCACCAGTGGCGATTACATGGATTGGTGAGCTTTTTGACATTTTTTATTAATTTCCCATTATGTCTTTTTGCGCGTTAAACAAATTCAGGACCGCAACATAAGTATTAAATAAATTCCCAATTATCTAAATATAGACTGCTCCTGTAGGTTATTAGGGAGATATTTGAATCTACGTCTTTTTTGCTTTTAATAGCGGTACTGACGATTTTCTGATGGCATTACACGTTCTCTTCACTCATCAACCAGCTTGGGTTGTCATGCGCTGTAGCAAGCTTCTTCCCTAATAGCAAATGAGCCACGAATGTACCACAAATGCACGAATACTTCGTACGAACTTTCGTATGAATTTGAAACACGAATTCGTGCGAAAGTTCGTACGAAAATTTGCATCTCAAAACCTTATGTACAGCGGGACGCCTAGGCGAAAACATTATTGTCACGAAAGGGGTCACAACACACCTCAGCATATAAAATTATAGCTGAAGACAATAGAGATACTTTTTATCGAGAGAATAATGTGGATATAGTGTTCACAATAGCGAACACCATGACGCCAGCTAGTCATTTTTCACCAGCTTGCATTTGAAAGCAGGCAATCCTAAAAGAGAATATTATTCTTTATTGCTTATACTCCGTCGCAATTTTCCACTCTCATCTATTTGTAGTTTTTCAGCCCAATTTTCGGTTAATGTTTAGAAATGCCGGGCGAAATTTACATTCGACTTCTTCAGTTGACCGTCCTACCTCTTATTGCTTCCAATCTTATTGTCGGTAAGCCACCTCGGTAATAAAAGTTAAATCTATTGCCATCTACGTTTAAATAGGTACGCAATACGAAATTGTTTTCCGAAAAAAGTAGTATCGAATAGTTTTACACTTGATGTCATGCTTGAGAGCATAAGAAATATCTCGCAAATAAGTATTTCAAACGACTGGTCTTAAACATATGCCGTATTATAGATCCAAACAGCGTCCCGTACACTTTGTACTTTAACACTTTAAATATTAATTTTCTGTTATTTATGAAATGATAAATTGTCCAAACAGTGCGTACGAAATGGACTTTTCCACAAACCAATAGGATTTGAAGGCAGCTGAAGGCAACATCTTTGTCGTTTCAGCCTTCTGCTAATAAACAACGAACTGGTTAAGATAAAAGTGTAACTGGAAATCACCTTAGTGTTCTTTCATTGACTGATTGACCCCAATTCCAACTGTCTTCCAAACACTATGCCATTGCAACAGGGATTATTGTATAATACCCTATTTCTCTTTCCAAATAAGCTAAGCAGTCCAGTCTATCTTGTGAAAAATTTGCTTCGCCTCGTACAGCTATAAGTGAAATTGCTATAAGATTTGCGGCCTTCTACGGCTACATGTCATCGCCTAACTTGCTGCTCTGTTGCCAATAACCGAAACTAAAAGCATTTCTCCAGTAGAGTGTAAGGCATTCCACAAACGTTGGTAGGAAACTTACACGTACCACTGTCCAAAAGACATCAAGGCACAAGCAATGAGAGGACGAGAGAGTGCAATTAGTTAGATTAGTTTCTACTCAATACTGAAATTTTCTTAATATTCCTCCTGATGCAATGATTTCTTACTTATTCCTGTAAGTAAGGAACTTTTTTACCGGGCAAATATATATTATACCTCAAACTCTTTGTTCCGCATTCCTCCTACCGTGATTGCAGGCTCTTATTCTATCTCTTACCCCGTCTTTCAAACCCACTGAACATGTCACCACATACTTATTAAACGTGTAAAATTAAGCGTACAGGAAGACTCCTGTACTAATCACATTTAAGTGCAAAAAATACTTTGGGGACTAAGGTGAAGCGGATAAAAACAAACTCTGATCAAGCAGTAGATGCGACAGGGACTGTCAAAACGTTGTCGACCACTGCAGTTAATGTAGTATCATGTGAGCCAAATAATTGGTCAGAGTAATATATTAAGATAACGCGTTGTTGCTAGTCGACCATTGATGTGCCTCAAATATACATATTTTGCAACTTACTTCAGTTCTAAAAAAGCACTGCATTTAAGCGAACATG